AAACTGTTGGGTTTGAACCACCAACTTCTCAGTAGTTAAGTACTTGATTATCACTGTGCTGCTGGGGCTCTTCAAAGCTGTACTCACAGGGAGCTTTGGTGGCCTAGTGGCAAGAAGCTACACTGCAATCTCAGAGTGGAATCCACCAGATCCTCTGCGGAAGGAGGGACAATCTCTTCCTGTACCAGTCAGATCTGATTTGACGGTACACACACACAAAATAACTTTTTTTAAAAAAAATAAAGATGTACCCAGAGCATTGTAAAGACGATGAGAAATCGTTCCCATGGTTATGTTACATGGGGCCCAGTTGCCCTGAACATAGAGAATGATTAGCATGAATTTTCCAGCAAGGTCCATTGTAATCCTTGTAATCATGGACACTGCAAAGCAGAGTACCTTGTCTGACTCATAGCAGAAGAGACTTGATAATTGAGTTTAAGTTTGAAGATGGAGGGGAGCCACAGGGAAAGGAATGTGGGTGACCTCTTTGAGCAGAGTGGACCCCAGCTAATGTTAGTAAGTAAACAGAGACCTCAGTCTTGCAATATCGGAAACTGGGTTCTGCCAGAATTCTGAACAAGCTGGAAATGGAAGTGTTCCCCAAATCCCACACACGAGTCCAACCAGTCCGCACACATGCATGTCTGTTCTACACAAGGATGTGTGTGCAGGCGTGTGCGTGTGCACATACACACACACACACAGACACACACACACACACGCGCGCGAGTTCTACCCAGCAGCAGCACCTGATGCTCACACAGACAGACTTGGGAGGAGGAGGAGAGCCACGGAGCGGGCTGACCTTACCTGCACGGTTGTTATGCCCGGCTCCCGACCAACCAGGGTCCTACCATCCTGTAACCTGGCGATTTTCGGTTCCTCCACCTTCATGACATCGGTCACAAGGTCTGTGATGTCAAACTGCCAGTCAGGGCCCAGCATGTAGGTCAACTGACCCATCTCTGGGGACTCTGCCACAAACTGGGTCAGAACGCGGACCGTGGCGTGCTGGTACTGGAGAGAACACCCCCGGCCTTTCTTCTCCTCATCTTCCTCATCGTCACTCTCCCGGGTGGGTCTGGAAACAAGAAACCAGAGCAGAATAAGCGTCGTGGCTGATAACCAAGTCATCGTGGATTTTCTCCTCCAAGGTCTGCTTGTCTACCGATTCAACGCTGTGTCCCTTCTGACATCAGGAACCTGTCGGTAGTTAGCAGGCACTGCGAGTGCTGTGCTGCTACAGACGTGGGTACCTAAGGCAAGGCACACCCCGCCTCCACATGACTTCCTGCAGTGGGAGACACACTCTGTGGGCTGGCAAGGTGTTAAGGATTTTCACCACATGAAGCTGATACAGAACTCTGAGAAGAAAATAAAATCTGGGGTCAGAAGAGCAGCTTGGAATCCTGTTTCCATACACCCAACATGTACTCATTTCTGCTTTCACTCTGTCATGTGTTTTGAAGTTGTGTTATTTGCTGTATTAATAACTGTTGTTGTTGTTGTTGTTAAATGCCATCGAGTCATAGGCGAAACATAGAGACCCTATGAATGAGAGACTTGAGCACTTGTACAACTTCCATCCTTTCTCCAAGTTCATAGGGTTTCCGGAGGCAAGCTATTTCAGAAGCGGATGCCACTCCTGCTTCCAAGCTAGTTTTAATCGGGGAGCTATTAATAATTAGAATCTAAAAATCTTCTCCAACAGTTTCTTTCAGCACTTTGAAAATGTGGTGCCATGTTCTTCCAGTCTTCATAGTGTCAGGTAGGAAATCTACCATTCAACTAATTGCTCTTAGTAAATAAATCACTCACCATTTCTTTGGATGTCTTTAAGTTTGTTGGGTATTTTTTTCTTTTCCCCTTAATGTTCATAAGTTTAAGTATGATGTCTCTCAACATATTTTTAATGCATTTTTTTAATTATTATTTCCTCAACTGGTGGCCTTGTGTTAAGGAGTTGCACTGGCAATCCAAAGGTATATGGTTCTAATCCACCAGCTGCTCCATGAAAGATGGGCAATCTCCTCCCATATGATTAACTGCTCTGAAAACCTGCTGGAGGGTCAGCTATGGGTCGGTTCCAACTTGACAGGACACACCACCATCAAATAATCAAATCTATAGATCTGTGTCTTTCACCGAATTTGGGGAGTTTTTATCTATTTTTTTTTTATCTCAAAAAAAATTTTTTTTTCAATCCTGCACTCTTTCTACTTGTTGGAGAAAAATGTCAGCTTTTAAAAGGCTCAATATATGGGTTAAAGGCACTTGGATAATCTCCAGTTCTTAAAATTGACTGATGCAGGATTTTAATTATATCTGAAAAATACTTCCACAGCAGCGTTATATTGGTGTTGGACTGAAGAACCAGAGGTTACAATCCTGAAGAGCTGTTCTGAGAATTCTGATTCCTATAATATTCATTAAACTTTTGAGACAATTCCACTGAGTAAGATTATCCCCTCCAATTTTGTAGCTAAAGAAACTGAGGAATAGAGAAGTTAAGTAGCTTGTCCAAGGTCACATTAGACATTTGTAGCAAAACGTGGGTTAAAGACTGGGCAGCCTTATTCCAGAGTCTACACTCTTAATAAGCATTTCACGCTATTTGTAGAGGCTGACTGACATTCACTGACAGCAGGGGAACTGTGAATGAGTAAACAGGAAAACAGGGAATATAATATATTTGCATTCCAAATTCCAGACCTTACATATATGAGCAAATTTCTCCAATGCAGTATGTCTTTTTTTTTTTCTTTTTATTTCTTGACAGCCGCTACCATGGGTGTTGATTCTGGACCTGAGTAAAATGAAATCATTGATCCAAGTTATAGCCTTTTCTTTTTTTAATTTTATTTCGTGTGTGTGTGTGTGTGTACCACCCAATCAGATCTGACTGGTACAAGAGGAGATTGTTTCTCCTTCTCCAGCAGAGCATCTGGTGGATTTGAACCGTGCACCTCTGAGATTGCAGTGCAGCTTCTTACCACTAGGCCACCAGAACTTGCCAATTATAGCCGTTTCAATTACCTCCTTTGAAAGTTGGATAATCAATAAAGAAGACTGAAGAAGCATCAATGTCTTTGAGTTGTGGTTTTGGCACCCTGGTAGCTTAGTGGCAAGGAGTTGCACTACCAGCCCTAAGGCATGCAGTTCGAATCCACCAGTTGCTCCATGGGAGGAAGATGGGGAATCTCTTCCCATGTGATTAACTGCCTCTGAAAACCCACTGGAGGGTCAGCTGTGAGTTGGTTACAACTTGACGGTATATAACAACAACATGGACTGCTGAAAACAAAACAACAAATCTATCCTGAAGGAAGTTCTCCGGAGAGGCAAGGATGGTGGAACTTCAACTCGCTTACTCTGGGCATAGTCTCAGGAGGAATCAGTGCTTGAAGGAAGATGTGCTGGAAAAGGCGGAGGGTCAGAGGAGGAGAGGAAAACCTACAACATGATCGCTCAGAAACAACCACAATGACACAGAGAATGAGACGAGAGCAGGATAAGGCAAGGTTCAGATTCGTTGTTCACAGGGTTGCTATGAGTTATAGTGCACTAACAATAGACACCTAATAATAACAATATATAGAAGAGGCTTTTCTTTAATATTTAAGCATCAAACTACCAGACCAAGCACACATTATCAGTATTCCCATTATAATATTCTCACGTCAACGTACTGATAAGGAGTAGAATCTGACTTACCTGAACTCCAAGTACAAACCGATGTGACCCCTCTGTGTACGGCACCCTGCCACTCCCTGAGATTCTGAGAACCAGGTTTATCCCCAGTACGCAAACGTCCGAGACCATATCGCATCCAGTCCACAGTCTTCCCTTCGGAGGTCACTGTCACCTTAGCTCCTCACCTTCTGCTGGGGGCCACTGGGATCCTCCAGCCCTTGATCTGGCTCAGTTCCGTGTCCGAGATCTCAATCTGAAGGGGGAGCCTGGGCACCCACACGGTGACTTCTAATTGGGAGGTGAAGTGCTGGTGGGTGAAGTTCACAACTGTGTCCACTCTGCTCTTCATCTCCTTCCCATTCACAAAAATGGAATCACAGTGGTTGGAGACCTTCGGGGAGAGATGGGAGTTGGAGCTGCATCAGCAAGATAAACACAAGCAAGAAACCCACAGTGACGAGAGTTCATGAACCGCAACGGCCCTGATTGATGAGACGGGAGACAAGCCGAACAACATGACTCACACAGAAGGCAATTCATAGGCACTAATTAGCGACAAATACTGATAAATGGACTCTAGGAAGGCCGTTCTGTATCACAAACACTGACAAGTAAAACCATAAACATAATTTAATGAGGTTACATAACCTCTGCTGCCTTTTTGTGTGTCTTCCCCCCCCTTCCCCTTACCTTTTTTATGTACTCATCCCTTCACTAATCTCACCCCGGGAGCATCATATTTCACTCTGGCACCATATTTGAAGATGCATGGAAGGTGGCCATATGTTACTAAACAATTGTTTTAGTCAAACTATAAAGAGGATCCTTTTTGAGAAATCAAGAGAGCAATGTAGTAGATTAAAACCTTGGTGGGTATAAAGCTCATGAAATGCAATGGAAACGTGGATATAATTCTTTTTGCCCCATTAAACGACAGATCTGCAGACTGGAAGTGAGGACGTGGCATTTCATTAGAGTCTTCTGACTCAGCACGTGGGCTGCACACATCGTCAGGTGGAGAATATCTGACAACGGGAGCCCCTGTCTCTCTCTCCACCTTCCCATAAACAAACCCAGAGCCGATGATTTTCTTTCCTGGATTGGGAGGGACACATCTTATGCGTGTCTGCTCGGCGAGGAGAAGGAGAGATCCAGATCACTTCATGTACAGAAGATACAAAGGGTCAGATCCAGTGTGACAACTTCCAGTGTAAGATGAGAGACATCGTTTCCTCTCTCTTCTTAAAGCAAAGAGACTTTTCTAAGCATCTTCCAGAGGAGTCTTCACATCTCAATGGTCAGAAAAGGGCCATAATATCTCAGTCACAAAGGGACAAATACTGCATAGGGCCACTTGGTAAAATGGGACTGACATCAGGGTTGAGGGAAGACAGAGAAGGAGAGGAGGAATGATGTATACTGCATTGGAACTGATAAGGAAGAGAACTGTTTAAAAATGATACGTGATTAGGTATTATTGTCATGACAGGAGTCCAGAACGAAGGCTGCACAATGGAGTGGGCTTGAGGGAAGTTATTCCATAGGAATGAAAGAGTTTTTCTTTTACTTTTCAAAGAAAAGAATGAATTGGGAGGAGAGGGTGGGCAGGGAGAAAAGTGCAACAATGAATGATTGGAAACCCTAAATCTCTGTAAACGTTCATTAAAGTTAATTTAAAAAAAAAAGAAAAGAAAAAAAATAAAAGCAGGTGCCTCTAAGGAGTGTCCTGCATGCAGTTCCTCTGGGGGCGGGGGGCGGGGCGGAGGGGGCCCTAAGACTTCCCTAAGTCAATTCAAGTAGTGGCGTTGACGAAGAGTATTAAATATACATGGACTGTCAAAAGAACCAACAAATCTGGCTTGGAAGAAATGTACCCAGGGAGCTCCTTGGAAGCAAGCGTGGTGAAACATCATCTTACATATTTTGGACATGTTGTCTGGAGGCAACAGTCTTTGGGAAAAGCCATCAAAGTCTTTTGATGGGAAAATCAGAGGAGCAGTGAAAGCTATGAAGATCATCAAGGAGACGGACTGGCACAGTAAATGCAATCATAACCTGAAGTAAGGTGGACAGCAGGAAGATAGCACAGGGGAGGACAAGGCTTCCATCTGCCGTTCATAGGGCCACTATGGGTCACAGTCAACTGGACAGGTTACCAACAACGTCGATGAATGGCGAGGATGATGGTGTGTCAATGGCTGGTGAGGAGAACACTTTAAAAAACCATAATGAGTATCCTAGGAGAAAGAGCTCAAAGGAGCATCAACAGACAGACTGTGGAGGTCTCTCACCTTCTTACACTGTGTTGGTTGTGGTTTCAGTGGTAAGCCTCATCATCTAATACTGTATCTGCCATAGGCATGAAGGGAGAAGCAAGCATCCCAATGTGCACAAAGAGGGGAGGGGAGAGGGGAGGCAGAGCTGAGAGGCAGAAGCCACCCTTTCATTCCCTGGGCCCTGAGCGTGGTGAGCGTCCATGACTTTGTAGCCTGTGGGTTTCCCAATACCAAACCAAACATGTTGCCGCTGAACTGAGTTCCACCTCCTGGTGAACCCGTGTGCTTCCGAGCAGAGCTGCCCATGGTTCTCAGTGTTTGTGAGTTTACTGAAAGAGTCTCCAGAGCCTGGGAGGAGTGTGGGAGGGTCTCCCTGCGGTGTCCTCTGCGGTGCTCTCTGCACCCCTCTCTCCTGAAGCCCATCACAGGACTGGGTGAGGGGTGCTTTTGTAGAGAAGTGTTTGCATCTTATCAAGAGCACACCAGCAACCGGGCCCGAGATTAGACGCGGTGCACAGGTTAGCACACACTTATTTATCTGCGGACGCTTTCATTTGAGCATTTCATCCCTTGACTTGGAGATTAAAAAGCACCACCATGCTCATGAGTTTAGAGGAAGAGCCCAGCACTTGGCACTCCTTAAGTGAAGCCTCTGGAGGGATTAGGGCTGTTTATCTGGTGAAAGCCCAGCATATGGTGCCGTCCGGCCCCAGCACCGGCTCTGACCGTGAGCCCGGGACCTGCTGGAGAGAAGCCTGGCAACGAGGTACCACTGGCACGGGCGGACGCCGGAGCCACTGGCTTAGAAGTTCAGGGTACAAATCAGCAACATGAAAAGAAAGCATACTGGCAGGATAAGTAGATTCTCAGAGGAAAGAGTGAGAAAGAGCTGTCTGATGACACGGTTATTAAGCACTCAACTGCTAACTGGAAGGTCAGGTGTTCAAACCAACCAGTGGTCCCAGGAGAGAAAGATAAGGCGGTCCAGAAACACTAAACAAATGAATGGACACAAAACCGACCCACTGATGTGGAGATCATTCTGATCTGTGGCAATCAATCCATTGGGAGTCTGAGGCTGTAAATCCTAAAGCCCACCCTTCTCCTGTGGATTTGAACAGTCAACCTTTTATATAGCTAGTAGATGAGTGTGTGAACCCCTGCACCACCAGGACTCCTTCCACAAAGACAAACAGCCTTGGAAACCCCATGGGGCATTCTAAGAGGTCCTACTGAAAGCATGTAATCAATCTAGCTGAGCGGTCTAGCATGTTTAGAATAGAATTTTGTTTACACACATTGCTCATAATCTCCCTGTTCCCTTGGCCTGAGGCAGAGCTTCTGAAAGTGTTTCTGCAGACAACAGGCAAATCCCTGTGTGGAGCAGGGCCCAGGGGCATAGGTCGGGAAGGCAGGCCTGCTGTGAGTGGCAGGGGACATGGCACTGTGTCATCCTCGAGGGTACGCACCTTGAACTGCTCGGCTGAGTCCAGATGTTTGGTGAACATGCCAGCTTTTCCATGCTAACTCCTCACGGCACAGCTGGGCAGCACCATGCTGGTCAGAGCCGGTCGTGGGCTCTATTTTCCCGAAGGGCCATCATTTCACTCCGACCTGTCATTCAGGACTCTACCTAGGGTCAGCCTCACACAGTCAGTAGAGGTCAGTAGAATGTAAGTATTTTGGGTTTTTTTCTTCCAATATAATAAATTTTGGGCTACTTATCTTTGCTTTGTTACTTCCAATCCTTGTTAAAAACACTTGCTGACTCCTCATAGACTTGACCCAAAATAGGAAGAAGGTTCATCTAACTTGTCTGTACCAATCAAATCTGTGTCTGCTCAGGCAAAGCTGTTAGGGGACATGGGAACTGGAAGAGACTTGAGAAGGCTCCTGGGTCTTTAGTAGGAAGGGGCTTGGGGACCGATTGGTGATGTCCACCATGAGTACCTGCTTGGAGTGGTGGCACATACATATTATTCTTGTCATCCTAGCCAATCAATTCAGTCCTGATTCCTGAGCAGAGGTTGGAAGTTCTTCAAACTCCATTGCCTTCTCTAGCCTCACGCATTGCCCACGTCCCCCCTAAGAGCAGGAATAAAACAGTCCCTGCTCCTACTATCCAGGGAGATGCCCATTCCTTACCCTTCTCCAACCCTTACACCCCCATTCGCCTGTCCATCTGGGTCCTCTGGTACATCAAGCTCAAAGACTGTATTGACACTGCTCACCTGTGATTTATGAATCTCTTGTGAAGATGCCATTAAGATGCCTGTATTGTAACTAATGAAACAGAAGTGACAGGAAGACAGCATCTCCTCCTCATCCCACATCAGCACCACTCGTGAGAGCACAATGTGATACACAGCTCTCCTCCTGCAATGTTTCCCTCCATGGACACCTCCCCTTGACCTCTCACCATGCAGTCAGTCACCACCTCACCCTGGCTTGCAGCGCATCACCATGGGAAACTGTGATGCATCCTTGGCAGTGTATGCATACCCCTATCTAGTAAACCCCTGGCATGCCACAAGGGATGGCCATACCAGGGAAATGCCACAGCAGGTGAGTGGAGTGGTCATCTTCAAAAGCCCAGAATTATTTGCAAAACAGACAGAACTTCCTCAATAAGCCAGGAAGAAGTGGAAAGAATGTGGTTACATTAAGTGGGGTACAACCAATATCATGAAATGGGTATAAATGTTAAATGGAAAACAATAAAAAAGGGGAGGAAAAACAAAGAGGAGGAGGAGGAAGAGGAGAGAAGAGGAAGAGAAGGAGAAGGAAGAAGAGGAAAAGGAGGCGGAAGAAGAGGAGAAGAAGGGAAGGAAGAGGAAGAAAAAGGCAAGAAAGAAGAGGAAGAAAGAGGAGAAGAGCAAGGAGGAAAAGGAAAGGTGAAGGAAGCAGCTGAGGAGTGAGACGCTGCCCTCCACCTGGACTGCTGTGTGCAGGGCCGCAGGGTCCCCTTCGAGCTGCTGCTCCTTTTATCCAGCAGGACGCAGGACGGGACCTGAGCATTAAAGACAGTCAAGAAAATGTGTCCCATTCACCTGGCCTCTCCACACCTTGGCAAAGACTACCTCGGCCTAGTCCTTTAACCTCAACATCTCAAATC